AACTTGAACTCCTCTTAAGTTGCTGACCTGAAAATGGATCTAAATGTTAATGCTGTTGCATCATTAGTGCTTCTGCTAAAACTCACTTAACTGCTTCCAGATCAGCTGGGAAGTCAAAATTTCAGGCACATTATAAGCCTGTGCTTCTTATTTTATTGATACCCTGATGTTTCCCATAATGAGAGAAAAATCTTTTTCATCTCAAATAACTGCTAATCAGAGAATGTTCTGTGTCTCTATAGCGTTGCTTTATTATTTATTATAAAGTTTTGTTATCAACTAAAAAAATCAAAAGGAAGAAGGAGTTCTGCCATTATCATTATGGCACAATGAGAGGAGTACTCTACTTTGGTTTTCTTATTTTTCTCTCTCTTTATTCTTTATAACTCTCATAAAGAAAATATGGCCACCATTAGAGAGCATTGCTGAGTTGCAGAGGAACTGTCTCATAGGGCATAATTATATAGAAATTGATATTGAATGCCATTTTGTTATCTTCAAAAGACAGACTGTATTAGCAGCAAACAACTATTTTCTATGTAAAGATATAGTGGAGTCATGGTGTCCTGAGGAGAGAATGACTTCTACTGGGTAGAGTGACTGAAACTGCTGCTTTTCTTATACATCTGCAAATTAAGGATTTGTTTTAACATCTGACTCAGTGAATAATGGGTTTATTTCAACCAGGCTAGTATTGGTGATTGCTGGAAAGAGTGTGGAAGGACAAAGTCGGTTTTGCTGAGTTTTAATTTTTTTTTCTACCCTCTTATTTTGGTCTGAGAAGCTGGTGCTCTAGTGTGACATCCAGTGCCAAGTAGATTTTGTATGTATAAGTTTCAAGCAATATTTTAACTAATTAACATACTTTTCATTAGGTGGGATATGTGAACACCCCCCAGTACAATAGAAATATCAGACTATCACACACGTGACCACCTCCACTCTGGACCAATTCATTCTCTTTGTCCCTCAGATCCAACAGCTCATTTCCACACTCTCCAACTGTTCGGACAAATCAAACAAAGGAAGCCCGATCTTCAACTTAATTGTCCGCTGCCTGCAATTCCCACTAAGAGAGAAGATATTACGTAACTCATTAAGCAGCCTTCCTGTCCTTTTGTTCTGTGCTTAAAAGATCCTGATGCTAGACATTCACTAGGTAGTGCTTAATGGAAGAATGGGCAAGCATGCTGGAGTTTTAACATCAACAACCCCCAAACTAGAACCTCTCCTAATTCCCTCAGTTCCTGTTTAATGTATTGGCTTGCACACACACGCACATAGCCTTACATACTTACTCCATTATGCAATCACTGAAACCTTGTACCCTAAAAAGGGTTTGGCCAAGCAGATGGGCTCATTAAATGGTATTGTTTGTATTTCTGTGTGGATGAGAGTATGTGCACATGGGCATGGAGACATCAGCACGAGTATTCTGATTTAGGTTTTGGTTTGTGTACTATTTCCTGTGAATTTATTCATAAAGCCTGTGGCTTAAAATAGTAAAAATGTTAGTAATTTTTTGGAGGCATGTAAAATCCTAAATGTCCTAATTTTATCCAGTCGTCAGAATCACCAGAATCCATCTTGCCAGGCTTCAATCCATGTGTTTGTGGACAGTATAGTGGTACCGATCCAATCAGTGTCCTTTGAGGAAGTACTTGCAGCGATGGAGGTGGGCTCTAGGTGTGACACAGCAAGAAGACACTGTTTGTTTAACAACAATGATGGCTCGCCTGTAGACGGTGATAGACAGTTCATCCAATCAAGTGCCTGCCCTTTCCCAAACAGTTTCCAATAGCGACTTCCCAGAGGGCTCTGTGTAATAACCGTCTGGCGTAGTCAGGTCATTACTCCAATGAAAAGTTCTTAAATATCCTGTGAGGGAGAGTCCTGATGGCTCACCTCGTAGAGCTGGCACCCCATGTACCAAAGTTGAGTCCTTGCTGCAGCGGCCATGGGTTCGACTCCGACC